TTTCGTGTATCATGTTTCGTGTATCATGTTTCGTGTATCATGTTTCGTGTATCATGTTTCGTGTATCATGTTTCGTGTATCATGTTTCGTGTATCATGTTTCGTGTATCATGTTTCGTGTATCATGTTTCGTGTATCATGTTTCGTGTATCATGTTTCGTGTATCATGTTTCGTGTATCATGTTTCGTGTATCATGTTTCGTGTATCATGTTTCGTGTATCATGTTTCGTGTATCATGTTTCGTGTATCATGTTTCGTGTATCATGTTTCGTGTATCATGTTTCGTGTATCATGTTTCGTGTATCATGTTTCGTGTATCATGTTTCGTGTATCATGTTTCGTGTATCATGTTTCGTGTATCATGTTTCGTGTATCATGTTTCGTGTATCATGTTTCGTGTATCATGTTTCGTGTATCATGTTTCGTGTATCATGTTTCGTGTATCATGTTTCGTGTATCATGTTTCGTGTATCATGTTTCGTGTATCATGTTTCGTGTATCATGTTTCGTGTATCATGTTTCGTGTATCATGTTTCGTGTATCATGTTTCGTGTATCATGTTTCGTGTATCATGTTTCGTGTATCATGTTTCGTGTATCATGTTTCGTGTATCATGTTTCGTGTATCATGTTTCGTGTATCATGTTTCGTGTATCATGTTTCGTGTATCATGTTTCGTGTATCATGTTTCGTGTATCATGTTTCGTGTATCATGTTTCGTGTATCATGTTTCGTGTATCATGTTTCGTGTATCATGTTTCGTGTATCATGTTTCGTGTATCATGTTTCGTGTATCATGTTTCGTGTATCATGTTTCGTGTATCATGTTTCGTGTATCATGTTTCGTGTATCATGTTTCGTGTATCATGTTTCGTGTATCATGTTTCGTGTATCATGTTTCGTGTATCATGTTTCGTGTATCATGTTTCGTGTATCATGTTTCGTGTATCATGTTTCGTGTATCATGTTTCGTGTATCATGTTTCGTGTATCATGTTTCGTGTATCATGTTTCGTGTATCATGTTTCGTGTATCATGTTTCGTGTATCATGTTTCGTGTATCATGTTTCGTGTATCATGTTTCGTGTATCATGTTTCGTGTATCATGTTTCGTGTATCATGTTTCGTGTATCATGTTTCGTGTATCATGTTTCGTGTATCATGTTTCGTGTATCATGTTTCGTGTATCATGTTTCGTGTATCATGTTTCGTGTATCATGTTTCGTGTATCATGTTTCGTGTATCATGTTTCGTGTATCATGTTTCGTGTATCATGTTTCGTGTATCATGTTTCGTGTATCATGTTTCGTGTATCATGTTTCGTGTATCATGTTTCGTGTATCATGTTTCGTGTATCATGTTTCGTGTATCATGTTTCGTGTATCATGTTTCGTGTATCATGTTTCGTGTATCATGTTTCGTGTATCATGTTTCGTGTATCATGTTTCGTGTATCATGTTTCGTGTATCATGTTTCGTGTATCATGTTTCGTGTATCATGTTTCGTGTATCATGTTTCGTGTATCATGTTTCGTGTATCATGTTTCGTGTATCATGTTTCGTGTATCATGTTTCGTGTATCATGTTTCGTGTATCATGTTTCGTGTATCATGTTTCGTGTATCATGTTTCGTGTATCATGTTTCGTGTATCATGTTTCGTGTATCATGTTTCGTGTATCATGTTTCGTGTATCATGTTTCGTGTATCATGTTTCGTGTATCATGTTTCGTGTATCATGTTTCGTGTATCATGTTTCGTGTATCATGTTTCGTGTATCATGTTTCGTGTATCATGTTTCGTGTATCATGTTTCGTGTATCATGTTTCGTGTATCATGTTTCGTGTATCATGTTTCGTGTATCATGTTTCGTGTATCATGTTTCGTGTATCATGTTTCGTGTATCATGTTTCGTGTATCATGTTTCGTGTATCATGTTTCGTGTATCATGTTTCGTGTATCATGTTTCGTGTATCATGTTTCGTGTATCATGTTTCGTGTATCATGTTTCGTGTATCATGTTTCGTGTATCATGTTTCGTGTATCATGTTTCGTGTATCATGTTTCGTGTATCATGTTTCGTGTATCATGTTTCGTGTATCATGTTTCGTGTATCATGTTTCGTGTATCATGTTTCGTGTATCATGTTTCGTGTATCATGTTTCGTGTATCATGTTTCGTGTATCATGTTTCGTGTATCATGTTTCGTGTATCATGTTTCGTGTATCATGTTTCGTGTATCATGTTTCGTGTATCATGTTTCGTGTATCATGTTTCGTGTATCATGTTTCGTGTATCATGTTTCGTGTATCATGTTTCGTGTATCATGTTTCGTGTATCATGTTTCGTGTATCATGTTTCGTGTATCATGTTTCGTGTATCATGTTTCGTGTATCATGTTTCGTGTATCATGTTTCGTGTATCATGTTTCGTGTATCATGTTTCGTGTATCATGTTTCGTGTATCATGTCTCACGTATCATGTTTCGTGTATCATGTCTCACGTATCATGTCTCGTATCATGTCTCACGTATCATGTCTCACGTATCATGTCTCACGTATCATGTCTCACGTATCATGTCTCACGTATCATGTCTCACGTATCATGTCTCACGTATCATGTCTCACGTATCATGTCTCACGTATCATGTCTCACGTATCATGTCTCACGTATCATGTCTCACGTATCATGTCTCACGTATCATGTCTCACGTATCATGTCTCACGTATCATGTCTCACGTATCATGTCTCACGTATCATGTCTCACGTATCATGTCTCACGTATCATGTCTCACGTATCATGTCTCACGTATCATGTCTCACGTATCATGTCTCACGTATCATGTCTCACGTATCATGTCTCACGTATCATGTCTCACGTATCATGTCTCACGTATCATGTCTCACGTATCATGTCTCACGTATCATGTCTCACGTATCATGTCTCACGTATCATGTCTCACGTATCATGTCTCACGTATCATGTCTCACGTATCATGTCTCACGTATCATGTCTCACGTATCATGTCTCACGTATCATGTCTCACGTATCATGTCTCACGTATCATGTCTCACGTATCATGTCTCACGTATCATGTCTCACGTATCATGTCTCACGTATCATGTCTCACGTATCATGTCTCACGTATCATGTCTCACGTATCATGTCTCACGTATCATGTCTCACGTATCATGTCTCACGTATCATGTCTCACGTATCATGTCTCACGTATCATGTCTCACGTATCATGTCTCACGTATCATGTCTCACGTATCATGTCTCACGTATCATGTCTCACGTATCATGTCTCACGTATCATGTCTCACGTATCATGTCTCACGTATCATGTCTCACGTATCATGTCTCACGTATCATGTCTCACGTATCATGTCTCACGTATCATGTCTCACGTATCATGTCTCACGTATCATGTCTCACGTATCATGTCTCACGTATCATGTCTCACGTATCATGTCTCACGTATCATGTCTCACGTATCATGTCTCACGTATCATGTCTCACGTATCATGTCTCACGTATCATGTCTCACGTATCATGTCTCACGTATCATGTCTCACGTATCATGTCTCACGTATCATGTCTCACGTATCATGTCTCACGTATCATGTCTCACGTATCATGTCTCACGTATCATGTCTCACGTATCATGTCTCACGTATCATGTCTCACGTATCATGTCTCACGTATCATGTCTCACGTATCATGTCTCACGTATCATGTCTCACGTATCATGTCTCACGTATCATGTCTCACGTATCATGTCTCACGTATCATGTCTCACGTATCATGTCTCACGTATCATGTCTCACGTATCATGTCTCACGTATCATGTCTCACGTATCATGTCTCACGTATCATGTCTCACGTATCATGTCTCACGTATCATGTCTCACGTATCATGTCTCACGTATCATGTCTCACGTATCATGTCTCACGTATCATGTCTCACGTATCATGTCTCACGTATCATGTCTCACGTATCATGTCTCACGTATCATGTCTCACGTATCATGTCTCACGTATCATGTCTCACGTATCATGTCTCACGTATCATGTCTCACGTATCATGTCTCACGTATCATGTCTCACGTATCATGTCTCACGTATCATGTCTCACGTATCATGTCTCACGTATCATGTCTCACGTATCATGTCTCACGTATCATGTCTCACGTATCATGTCTCACGTATCATGTCTCACGTATCATGTCTCACGTATCATGTCTCACGTATCATGTCTCACGTATCATGTCTCACGTATCATGTCTCACGTATCATGTCTCACGTATCATGTCTCACGTATCATGTCTCACGTATCATGTCTCACGTATCATGTCTCACGTATCATGTCTCACGTATCATGTCTCACGTATCATGTCTCACGTATCATGTCTCACGTATCATGTCTCACGTATCATGTCTCACGTATCATGTCTCACGTATCATGTCTCACGTATCATGTCTCACGTATCATGTCTCACGTATCATGTCTCACGTATCATGTCTCACGTATCATGTCTCACGTATCATGTCTCACGTATCATGTCTCACGTATCATGTCTCACGTATCATGTCTCACGTATCATGTCTCACGTATCATGTCTCACGTATCATGTCTCACGTATCATGTCTCACGTATCATGTCTCACGTATCATGTCTCACGTATCATGTCTCACGTATCATGTCTCACGTATCATGTCTCACGTATCATGTCTCACGTATCATGTCTCACGTATCATGTCTCACGTATCATGTCTCACGTATCATGTCTCACGTATCATGTCTCACGTATCATGTCTCACGTATCATGTCTCACGTATCATGTCTCACGTATCATGTCTCACGTATCATGTCTCACGTATCATGTCTCACGTATCATGTCTCACGTATCATGTCTCACGTATCATGTCTCACGTATCATGTCTCACGTATCATGTCACACGTCCTAAACGCACAACCAGACGAACACACATCAAACAGACCTTAAAGTCCTTAAGCCGAGTACTCTTGCAGGAGATCTGCCTATGATGGGTTCACTCGATGGGTCCACTCGATGATGGGTCCACTTGATTATGGGTCCACTTGATGATGGGTCCACTATATGAAGGTTCCACTTGATGATGGGCCCACTCGATGATCGGTCGACTTGATGATGGGTCCACTTGCTGGGTCCACTCGATGATGGGTCCACTCGATGATGGGTCCACTCGATTATGGGTGGACTTGATGATGGGTCCACTCGATGATGGCGTGTAAAGTAGCTGTCGACAGCATCACATAAATGTTCTCCCCAACTTCCTGTGAAAGTTCCGGTATCCAAATCACCCTGTGATGAAATAAGTATTAACATAATGAAGAATTTTGTAATGTTTGTCATATTATCAACGATTTAATAAACTTGCTGTTTTGTTATACGGTAATTTATTTTTATCTTACAGTTTATTACTTTATTTCCAGCAGGCAACTCTGACTATACGTTAACAGACTGAACATTCAAGGGAAGTAACTATGATATGTATAATACAAGGGACGTAACAATAACTAACAAGATATAATTTAAATTTTACTAAAATAATTTTATATTCTATATATATTGTATTATGTCTTTTGTGTCTATGTTCGAATCGTTTAGGAAATGGTCCTGTATAACATAATTTTGAAAAAAAAAGTTTTTCTTTAAAAAAAAGGGGGTGGGCGGGGGAAGAGACAACTTTCCTGATGAAAAGTATTAAATCCCATAATATAACTAAATTATCCTAATAATATGAAAGCCAGTGTGCACACCTCTCTCTCTCACTCTCTTTCTCTGTCCGCAAAATATTTTCCGAGGCAATGAGATCAGTATCTTCAGCGATATATGGATGTATGGAGACCTTAATGAAACGGGCTTTTGTTGCAAACTATATGTTGGATTATTAAATGTATAACCTAAATTGTATTTAAAGAAGGAAGATGAAAAAGGAATTATCGAATGTAGAAACTTTTTAAATCATGCAACTGGAAAAGTGTTTATGCTTGTGACAAGAACTCTTTAGAGAACACACAAATTTAAAAACAATGGCGTCATCGCTTTCAGGATAAAAATAGAATGTCGAAAATGATACACAATACTAATGAAGTCATCTTCAATAATATTTGCTTTCCACATTTTCCAATTATAATATATGAAGAAAGGAACTATTTCGCTCAAATTAGATTTAAATCTATAGATTCTAGATCGGCTTATCAAGACTTATGCTATAAATGTAGGCCTTTATAATTTTCTCGGGCAAAAAAATACTTTAAAAAACAACACGAATAACAGCCGGGCTTTTAACGGAATCATTTTTTAAGTCTGTTAATCAGTTTGTGCATTTAATATGGTTTTGCGTTGACTAATAATGTATATAATTTGTTTTTTCTAATAGGTATTGGTAGCCTATGTTATTTTAAAGGTGTCGGATTTTTAGCTATTTAGTTATTTCTTTAATTTATCGCTAATATCGTTCAACGTGTAGTAAAGCACATTGCGTTTTGACCAATAACTATTTTATAAACTATTTTTCTCCAACAAGAATAACAAAAATATATAGGCATAGGGCTATAATTCGCGTCGGGTACCGATGGCTAGTAGTTTACCATAGGTATTCGAGGATATGTAAAATAAATATCTCATGATACTAAATACTCTATATACTTAGTATATTTCGTATACACTACTATAGACCTATTTGAGAAAGTAAAAATAAAAATAAAAGTTAGCCCTTATAAATTTTAAATATTCTGTACATTGATAGTATACAAAACTTACATCAACCCTCGTCGTCAATATGATGCTGTTGTTTAGGTCGACGTTGTTTAATGGCAATTAGAAAGATAAGTTATCCAAACACATGAACGATGAGCACCATTTTATTAGAAACATCGTCGTCAATATGATGCTGTTGTGTAGGTTGACGTTGTTTAGTGGCAATTAGAAAGATAAGTTATCCAAACACATGAAATATTTTATTGAAATCCCTAAATTCAAGATGGAGGTCTAAGTCCAAAGGATACGCGCCTGTTCCCAAAGACACATGACTCGATTATGCACTAACGTTTGGCCTCCACTGCGCATGACATCTCACAATATTGTGTCACACAATGAACTATTTCTACCCCAGGCACTTGTCAAAACAAACACGGGTACTGGTTGACATTCTACTTGGCACTGTGCTAAACCCATCAAACACACACGTCACACAATCTCACTACACATTCTTTACAGTGAGCGTTTTCGCATAAACTTCACACAAACCACGTCACCAGACACCCCAGTTTCTATTGTCACCACCCTCCACTGGAATCTATATCTAGGGGGGGGGGGGGTCACAATTTATGACGTCAGCATAGGAGGGGGGTGGGAAAAATAGACTTTAGCAGAAGTGTGGATTGTGCGGGGGGGGGGGGGGTGGTAAGATCTTTTTGTACGTCCACATGATGGATTTAACATTTAAATTTAAAAAAAAACAGTTCTCATATTGTAAATAAGACAAATATACTAGGTTCGACACTAGCAATGCTGCGACTGGACATCTCTATACATAATATCTAACCCTCCTCCCGCCCCTCCCACACTTTCCAGTCTGGTGAGCTGTGATTCACGCCGAATGTTTAAACGATTTGAAACTAAGGGGAGGTAGCCAAGGACCGTAGTCCATACATATTGTACTGTCTAGCGGCCGTTCATAAATGACTTCGCGTTAATTAGCCGAATTTTTCACCCAACCCAAATCGTGTGCACACACCAGATAGCCACTGACGACATTAAAAATGTTTTGTTCTGCAGCCCACCCACCCCTCTTCAGTAAAAAAAAATTTTTTTAAATTATTTGCATGTCTGAATGCAATAACATGCAATCTCTGACTAGCTTTAAGAAAAATTGTTGGTAAAATGGAGACGTACGCGGTGTCCATATGCGATCATTCATTGAATTAACAAAAAGTTAAATAGTCTTAGCACATTCACGCCGCCACAGTGTGTTTATAGATCAAATGTACTTCCATTGAATTATTTATGGTATCCAGGAAGATAAAATTGTAATCAACTTTCATAAACAGAAAGTTAGCCGAGGAAAGAAAAATGTGTTGATGTTTTGTGATCCGTCACACAAAAGATTCTTCAGGGCATGACCACGTGATGTAAACGTGTTTATTAACTTGATTCAGTTTCTAATCTTTGTCATCAATCAATAGAGTTACGTTTCCGGTACTAAATGATTAGCTATAACGCTAATAATAAATAATAAATAGGCCGAGCTATTGTAAATGAACACACACTATAGAAATAACACGGTGAAAATGTACGACAATGCCACGTATAAAATGCTCACACAGAAAAACAACAACTCTGGCGTAATTCCCACACCGGATCTAAAACTGTAACAAAACAACTGAAGCCGTCTTGTTTATCTGACCTATGACCCCCAATACACTTTGCTGTGTTTTACCGTCATGGTTAGTTTATATTTTGTTATTGTAGGTTATGTGAAAAACATGATGTGGTGACTTAGTCCAGATAGAACATGGTGTGGTGACTTAGTCTAGATAGAACATGGTGTGGTGACTTAGTCCAGAAAGAACATGGTGTGGTGACTTTGTCTAGATAGAACATGGTGTGGTGACTTAGTCTAGATAGAACATGATGTGGTGACTTTGTCTAGATAGAACATGGTGTGGTGACTTAGTCCAGATAGAACATGGTGTGGTGACTTAGTCCAGAAAGAACATGGTGTGGTGACTTAGTCTAGATAGAACATGGTGTGGTGACTTAGTCTAGATAGAACATGGTGTGGTGACTTAGTCTAGATAGAACATGGTGTGGTGACTTAGTCTAGATAGAACATGGTGTGGTGACTTAGTCCAGATAGAACATGGTGTGGTGACTTAGTCTAGATAGAACATGATGTGGTGACTTAGTCCAGATAGAACATGGTGTGGTGACTTAGTCTAGATAGAACATGGTGTGGTGACGTGTTCTATCTAGAACATGGTGTGGTGACTTAGTCTAGATAGAACATGGTGTGGTGACTTAGTCTAGATAGAACATGGTGTGGTGACTTAGTCTAGATAGAACATGGTGTGGTGACTTAGTCTAGATAGAACATGGTGTGGTGACTTAGTCTAGATAGAACATGGTGTGGTGACTTAGTCTAGATAGAACATGGTGTGGTGACTTAGTCTAGATAGAACATGGTGTGGTTAAGTGTTTTATCTAGAACATGGTGTGGTGACTTAGTCCAGAAAGAACATGGTGTGGTGACTTAGTCTAGATAGAACATGGTGTGGTGACTTAGTCTAGATAGAACATGATGTGGTGACTTTGTCTAGATAGAACATGGTGTGGTGACTTAGTCCAGATAGAACATGGTGTGGTGACTTAGTCCAGAAAGAACATGGTGTGGTGACTTAGTCTAGATAGAACATGGTGTGGTGACTTAGTCTAGATAGAACATGGTGTGGTGACTTAGTCTAGATAGAACATGGTGTGGTTAAGTGTTCTATCTAGAACATGGTGTGGTGACTTAGTCTAGATAGAACATGGTGTGGTGACTTAGTCCAGATAGAACATGGTGTGGTGACTTAGTCTAGATAGAACATGATGTGGTGACTTAGTCCAGATAGAACATGGTGTGGTGACTTAGTCTAGATAGAACATGGTGTGGTGACGTGTTCTATCTAGAACATGGTGTGGTGACTTAGTCTAGATAGAACATGATGTGGTGACTTAGTCTAGATAGAACATGGTGTGGTGACTTAGTCTAGATAGAACATGGTGTGGTGACTTAGTCTAGATAGAACATGGTGTGGTGACTTAGTCTAGATAGAACATGGTGTGGTGACTTAGTCTAGATAGAACATGGTGTGGTGACTTAGTCTAGATAGAACATGGTGTGGTGACTTAGTCTAGATAGAACATGGTGTGGTGACTTAGTCCAGATAGAACATGGTGTGGTGACTTAGTCTAGATAGAATATGGTGTGGTGACTTAGTCTAGATAGAACATGGTGTGGTGACTTAGTTTAGATAGAACATGGTGTGGTGACTTAGTCTAGATAGAACATGGTGTGGTGACGTTTTCTATCTAGAATATGGTGTGGTGACTTTGTCTAGATAGAACATGGTGTGGTGACGTGTTCTATCTAGAACATGGTGTGGTGACTTAGTCTAGATAGAACATGGTGTGGTGACTTAGTTTAGATAGAACATGGTGTGGTGACGTGTTCTATCTAGAACATGGTGTGGTGACTTAGTCTAGATAGAACATGGTGTGGTGACGTGTTCTATCTAGAACATGGTGTGGTGACTTAGTCTAGATAGAACATGGTGTGGTGACTTAGTTTAGATAGAACATGGTGTGGTGACTTAGTTTAGATAGAACATGGTGTGGTGACTTAGTCTAGATAGAACATGGTGTGGTGACTTATTCTAGATAGAACATGGTGTGGTGACGTGTTCTATCTAGAACATGGTGTGGTGACTTAGTCTAGATAGAACATGGTGTGGTGACTTAGTTTAGATAGAACATGGTGTGGTGACTTAGTTTAGATAGAACATGGTGTGGTGACTTAGTCTAGATAGAACATGGTGTGGTGACTTATTCTAGATAGAACATGGTGTGGTGACGTGTTCTATCTAGAAAATGGTGTGGTGACTTAGTTTAGATAGAACATGGTGTGGTGACTTAGTTTAGATAGAACATGGTGTGGTGACTTAGTTTAGATAGAACATGGTGTGGTGACTTAGTCTAGATAGAACATGGTGTGGTGACTTATTCTAGATAGAACATGGTGTGGTGACGTGTTCTATCTAGAACATGGTGTGGTGACTTTGTCTAGATAGAACATGTTGTGGTGACTTAGTTTAGATAGAACATGGTGTGGTGACTTAGTCTAGATAGAACATGGTGTGGTGACGTGTTCTATCTAGAACATGGTGTGGTGACTTTGTCTAGATAGAACATGGTGTGGTGACTTAGTCTAGATAGAACATGATGTGGTGACTTAGTCTACATAGAACATTGTGTGGTTAAGTTTTCTATCTAGAACATGATGTGGTGACTTAGTCTAGATAGAACATGGTGTGGTGACTTAGTCTAGATAGAACATAGTGTGGTTAAGTGTTCTATCTAGAACATGGTGTGGTGACTTAGTCTAGATAGAACATGGTGTGGTGACTTAGTCTAGATAGAACATAGTGTGGTTAAGTGTTCTATCTAGAACATGGTGTGGTGACTTAGTCTAGATAGAACATGGTGTGGTGACGTGTTCTATCTAGAACATGGTGTGGTGACTTAGTCTAGATAGAACATGGTGTGGTGACGTGTTCTATCTAGAACATGGTGTGGTGACTTAGTCCAGATAGAACATGGTGTGGTGACTTGGTCTAGATAGAACATGGTGTGGTGACGTGTTCTATCTAGAACATGGTGTGGTGACTTAGTCTAGATAGAACATGGTGTGGTTAAGTGTTCTATCTAGAACATGATGTGGTGACTTAGTCAAGATAGAACATGGTGTGGTGACTTAGTCTAGATAGAACATGGTGTGGTGACTTAGTCTAGATAGAACATGGTGTGGTGTCTTAGTCTAGATAGAACATGGTGTGGTGACTTAGTCTAGATAGAACATGGTGTGGTGACTTAGTCTAGATAGAACATGGTGTGGTGACTTAGTCTAGATAGAACATGGTGTGGTTAAGTGTTCTATCTAGAACATTGTGTGGTTAAGTGTTCTATCTAGAACATGATGTGGTGACTAAGTCTAGATAGAACATGGTGTGGTGACTTAGTCTAGATAGAACATGGTGTGGTGACTTAGTCTAGATAGAACATGGTGTGGTTAAGTGTTCTATCTAGAACATTGTGTGGTTAAGTGTTCTATCTAGAACATGATGTGGTGACTAAGTCTAGATAGAACATGGTGTGGTGACATAGTCTAGATAGAACATGGTGTGGTGACTTAGTCTAGATAGAACATGGTGTGGTTAAGTGTTCTATCTAGAGCATGGTGTGGTTAAGTGTTCTATCTAGAACGTGATGTGGTGACTTAGTCTAGATAGAACATGGTGTGGTGACTTAGTCTAGATAGAACATGGTGTGGTTAAGTGTTTTATCTAGAACATGGTGTGGTGACTTAGTCTAGATAGAACATGGTGTGGTGACTTAGTCTAGATAGAACATGGTGTGGTGACTTAGTCTAGATAGAACATGATGTGGTGACTTAGTCTAGATAGATCATGATGTGGTGACTTAGTCTAGATAGAACATGGTG